AGTATAACTACGTGTTAGTATGTTCTCTTCTTGATCAGTTCTAGCAAGAGTATAACATGTGTTAGATGTTCTCTTCTTGATCAGTTCCAGCAAGAGTATAACACGTGTTAGATGTTCTCTTCGTGGTCAGTTCCAGCAAGAGTATAACACGTGTTAGATGTTCTCTTCTTGATCAGTTCCAGCAAGAGTATAACACGTATTAGATGTTCTCTTCGTGGTCAGTTCCAGCAAGAGTATAACACGTGTTAGATGTTCTCTTCTTGACCAGTTCTAGCAAGAATATAATACGTGTTAGATGTTCTCTTCTTGATCAGTTCCAGCAAGAGTATAACACGTGTTAGATGATCTCTTCTTGATCAGTTCTAGCTTGAGTATAAAACGGTTTTAAGTATCATCTTCATGCTCTGTTCTAGCATGAGTATAACAAGGTGTTAAGTATTCTATTCTTGATCAGTTCCAGCATGAGTATAACAAGGTGTTAAGTATTCTATTCTTGATCAGTTCCAGCAAGATTATAACATGCCGTTAACTGTTCTCTTCTTGATCAGTTCTAGCTTGAATATAAAACGGTTTTAAGTATCATCTTCATGCTCAGTTCCAGCATGAGTATAACAAGGTGTTAAGTATTCTATTCATGATCAATTCCAGCAAGATTATAACATGCCGTTAACTGTTCTCTTCTTGATCAGTTCTAGCTTGAGTATAAACGGTTTTAAGTATCATCTTCATGCTCAGTTCCAGCATGAGTATAACAAGATGTTAAGTATTCTATTCATGATCAATTCCAGCAAGATTATAACTTGCCGTTAACTGTTCTCTTCTTGATCAGTTCTAGCTTGAGTATAAAACGGTTTTAAGGATCATCTTCATGCTCAGTTCCAGCATGAGTATAACAAGGTGTTAAGTATTCTATTCATGATCCATTCCAGCAAGATTATAACATGCCGTTAACTGTTCTCTTCTTGATCAGTTCTAGCTTGAATATAAAACGGTTTTAAGTATCATCTTCATGCTCAGTTCCAGTATGAGTATAACAAGGTGTTAAGTATTGTATTCATGATCAGTTCCAGCAAGATTATAACATGCCGTTAATTGTTCTCTTCATGACCCGTTCCAGTATGATTATAAATAACATGGTGTTAAAAATTGGAATTACATAAAATTGTTTACAAATTTGCTTTCTTGGTGATGAAAAATTCAATTCTTACACATACATTTTTGGCGGAAACACTGTGTTTAAAATGCATGTATATTCGATGTGTACCTTGAATCTCTTTATAAGTGCACACAGCAACAAAGCTTTCGGGACTTAAATACACAAGGTTGTTGAGATAAAAGGAAAAC